ATCTGCCATTCTTCCAAGGTGGGTAGATCTTGTGTCTTCCAATACTTTGCAATGAGTATTCTTGCTGCTGTTGTAGCATACATAAAAAAAAATTCTGTCCTTCTTTGGCACCAATTGGCCGACTATGCCCAGGAGGAAGGCCTCTGGTTTCTTCAGGAAGGTATATTTAAATACCTTTTTCATTTCATTATAGATCATTTCCCAGAATGCCTTAATCCTTGGGCACGTCCACCAAAGGTGAAAAAATGTACCTTCAGTTTCTTTACATTTCCAACATTTATTATCGGGCAAATGATAGATTTTTGCAAGCTTGACTGGGGTTATGTACCACCTGTATATCATTTTCATAATATTCTCTCTTAAGACATTACATGCCGTAAATTTCATACCCGTGGTCCATAACTGTTCCCAGTCAGCCATCATTATGTTATGTCCAACATCTTGTGCCCATTTAATCATAACAGATTTCACCGTTTCATCCTGAGTGTTCCATTTCAACAGCAAGTTATACATCTTTGACAAAATCTTAGTTTTGGGTTCTAACAGTTCTGTTTCTAATTTTGATTTTTCCACCTGGAAGCCAATTTTCTTGTCCAAATTATATGCCTCCATTATCTGATAATAATGAAGCCAGTCGCGCACTTTGTTTTTTAGTTTCTCAAAACTCTGCAATTTCAGTCTATCTCCATCTTGTTCCAAAATTTCCCAATATTTCGGCCATTTGACCTCCATATTGAGCTTTTTCTGAGCTTTTGCTTCCATTGGTGACAGCCACCTTGGGGTTTTGTTTTCCAATAAGTCCTTATATCTTATCCAAACGCTAAACAATGCTTTCCTGACAATATGATTTTTAAATGCTTTATGCGCTTTGACCTTGTCATACCACAGATATGCATGCCATCCAAATACGTTATTAAAACCTTCTAAGTCCAAAATGTCTGTGTTTTAAAGAAGCAGCCATTCTTTCAACCAGCAAAAAGCTGCTGATTCATAGTAAAGTTTAAAGTCTGGCAGGGCAAATCCACCCCTTTCCTTTGCATCAGTTAATATCTTAAATTTTATTCTGGGCTTCTTGCCCTGCCAGACGAATCTAGAAATATCTCTCTGCCACTTCTTGAAACAGTCCATCTTGTCCACAATTTGCAGTGTTTGAAACAAAAACAGCATTCTAGGCAATACATTCATTTTTATCGCAGCAATACGGCCTAGCAGTGAAAGCTTCAAATTTGACCAAATTTCTAAGTCTTTTTTCACTTCCGTCCAACATTTTTCATAATTATCTTTAAATAAGTTCCCATTTTTGGCTGTCATATTAATCCCCAGGTATTTCACTTTGTCTCTCTATGCTTCTTGTGGCGTCTGCGTTGTTTCCTCTCGCTCCAATGTTGGATCTCCAGTTAGTTCTTTTTTGTACTTCCTCCAGAATTTTCCCAGCTCGTCTACTGATCTAATAGTTTTTCTTCTGTCCTTATATGTGAAGGTGATGCCCTCAGGAAATTCCCACCGGCCCAAATCATAGTCGTGGACATGCCTTAGACCTGGTGTTCACCTCTGTGGATGTTGGTGAACTGACGCTAAGTAAAAGCAAAACAAAATAAGTGCCATGGTCAGATCACTTCCTGGTGCAACTGGACTTCTCCGTGACCCTTCCCCTCTACAGGGAGTGGAACGAATACGGATAGCCCTCCCCCACCACTTAATACATCCAAATGGTTTCCAGAGAATGGTAGGGGATGCTTTATCCCATGATGACCTTTCAGCTAATTCCCTGGCAGCCCACTGGAATCCGGTCTTAACCAAGGCTATCAACTGTCTGGCTCTGAAGTGCCTTCTCTGATTGCATGGAGCCCAGACAGCCCCGTGGTTTTCCCTGGAGCTGAGCGCAATGAAACAATTGCTGAGATGGTTAGAGCACCGGTGGTGGAAAACTCATTTTGAATTGTACCAGACATGGGTTAGAGCTCAACGTCAAGCCTACCAAGTGGCGATAGTGACGGCAAAGCGAACTTTCTTCACCGCCTCTATTGCATCTGCAGAAAACAGCAGGAGGAGACTCTTTCAGGTGGTTCACAATTTAACAGAACCACCTTTGCCATCGGAGCCTGGTAAAGACCCCAAGATCTCCTGCAATGATCTTGCAAAGTTTTTTGCAGATAAAGTCACTCAGACTCGGAAAGAGGTAGATTGCACTGTGGGAGCAGGGACGGGGCGAGAGAGTGCTAGAGCGCTGTCTAGTTGTATGGAATGAATTCCAATCTGTTACCTCCAAGGATGTGGCCAGGCTGCTTGGATGAGTGAAACCGACCACCTGTCTCATTGATCTTTGCCCATCCTGGCTCATAAAAGTGAGCTGGGAAGGGCTGGGCGATGGGCTCCACGGGGCAGTATATGCTTTCCTCTGTGAGGGAGTCTTCCCAGACCCGCTGAAAGAGGTGGTCATTAAACCGCTTCTTAAAAAAACCATCTTAAACCCAGCCAATATGGACAATCTCAGATCTTCTATTCTTGGGCATGCTGATTGAGCGGGTGGTTGCTGAACAACTACAAGCATGTCTGGACAATGCAGACCATTTGGATCCCTTCCAATCAGGATTCAGTTCTCATCATGGGACTGAAACTGCCTTGGTCATGCTGGCTGATGATCTCCAACAGGCTAGGGACAAAGGTGAAAGCTGTTTCCTAGTTCTGCTGGATGTCTCAGCGGCCTTTGATACTATCGACCGTAACATCCCTCTGAGAGGGGCTGGGAGCACTGTTATACAGTGTTTCCGCTCCTTCCTCCTGAGCCGTGTCCCAAATGTGGTGTTGGGGGCTGAGTGTTCAGACCCCTGGGCACTCACTTTTGGGGTGCCTCAGGGTTCCGTCCTCAAGACCACATAACACCACTTGAAAGACCTACATTGGCTTCCAGTACATTTCAGAACACAATTCAAAGTGTTGGTGCTGACCTTTAATGCCCTAAACTGCCTTGGCCCAGAATACCTGAAGGAGTGTCTCCACCCCACCCCTCATCGTTCAGTCCGGACACTTGAGGTCCAGCACCGAGGGCCTTCTGGCAGTTCCACACTGCGAGAAGCCAAGTTACAGGGAACCAGGCAGAGGGCCTTCTCGGTAGTGGCACCCATGCCGTGGAACACCCTCCCATCAGATGTTAAAGAGATATTTGACTTTTAGAAGACATCTGAAGGCAGCCCTGTTTAGGGAAGTTTTTAATGACTGATGTTTTAATGTATTTTTAATATTCCGTTGTAAACTGACCAGAGTGCCTGGGGAAACTTAGCCAGATGGGCGGGGTATAAATAATAAATTATTATTCTTATTGTCATCATCATCATTTATTTTGAACTTTTCTTGGTACCTGCTTGGTAGCCAGTGTGATGATTTCAGCAGTGCTGGAACTCAGGACCGGCTGCCTTGAGGGGCATCTAAGAGCAGTTGGGCAGGGAAAGGTCTCCCTTGGGAGGTGGTGGACTCTCCTTCCTTGGAGGTTTCTGAGCAGAGATCGGACGGCCATCTGCCATGGATGCTTTAGCTGAGATTCCTGCATTGCTGGGGGTGGGACTGGATGACCCAGGGATCAGGGCCATATCCAGCAAGAAAGGTGGTGGAGGTGGACCAGGCGCATAGGCGCCTGCCCAAAAAGGAGGGAAAGTGGAGGGGGGAGGGAGTTGCACAGGCCCCCCACTCCGCCCCAGTTGCTCCCCGTCTCTGGACCTCCACCCCCCCCCTTTCTGCGCTGCAGCGATGGATTAGAGAGACCCTTCGCGAGCCGGGATCTCTTCAGGGGCGCAGCGTGTCGGTCAGGTTGTGCAAAGCGAGAGAGGGCTGAGCTGGGGGACTCGGCACTGCAAGGGTTAAAGGGAACCGAGCTGCCTTCCTAGAGAGGCCAGGAAGCAAGGGGGGGCAGGTCCTCCAGAGCCAAGGCCCCTCCCTCCCAGTCCTGTCCTTGCTTTGGGGTCTCTCCTGCAAGGGCTGCCTCGCTGCCCCTCCTGGGATCTGGTGAATCTCCTCTCTCTTTGGGATCTGGTGGGGGTCCCAGGGCTGCAGCAGGGGAGGGGGCCTGGGGGGGCTGAGCAGGGAGGGGCCAGGTCTGCAACCAAACTCATTTGGCCCTCTGCCCCCCCTTTCAGGAAAAATGGCTCCCATGAAGTCTGCTTCTTTAAACAAAGGAGTCAACAGAGGAAACATGTGCAAATGGTTTTCTAAAGCTGGACAAGGAGGTGGACTAGCCCCCCCCCCCCAAAAAAGGTGGCTACTGCAGCAATCCCTTCGCACCCAGAGCAGGGCATCCCAGGACCACATCCTCTCTGTCCCAAAGGGATTGTTGCTGTCAAAGCAGCCGGAAATGGGCGCTGCTACTCACTGAGCCTCCAGGGACCTGGGCATCAATGTCTCTCTGTGTGTGTTAAGCCATCTAAGAGAATAATAGTAATAAATTACCCACCTAAATTTCAAGGGAGATGTATTTGGCCCCACCCACTTGGCCCTCACAGCAAAGAAAAAGGGACCCCACCCCAGGAGTCTGTCTTGAGAGTGGCAGAGAGTCCAAGTGCAAAAAAGGAGACAGAAGCAGGGGAGTGGGGGTGTGGGGGAGCAACTCCTGAGGACCCCCGGATGAGGACCCCCACTAGAGCCAAGCATCCATTTTTCACAAGATACAAATGACTCCCTTGTCAGTCAGTTCTAACTTCATGCATTGACTGGAAGGCAGGAGAAACCAGGCTGATTTTTCTCCCAGAAATCCCTTCAGCTGCCTCCACATTTTGCATCACAATCTTCCTTCTAGGGGGGCTAAAGGCTGCTTTCTCCTTCTCCTCCTTCTGTTTCTCCTCCTTCTCTTTTTAAAGAAGATCTCTCATGGTTTGGGCTGTGGTGCTATCCAGCCCTGCTTCCTGGCAAGACTCGTCCATGCTTGCTCAGGATCCTGTTCCTTGTGACCTACATATTCTGTAACAGAACAATGTCTTTGCTTTGTAGGATTTTCTAAAGCTTCTCATTAAGACGGACAGAACTTGGCAGAAGATCAAAGGGTTCCTTCTCATCTCTCAGAGGCTTCCTGAGAGCACAGATGGATGAGCAAGACTCAGCTGGCCCTGAATCAGGAAGTGGCCATGACATCCAAACTGGGAGCAGTGGGGGATTCTGGGAAAACTCTGTGCAGAAGATCCTGGGTGAGGAGGGCACCCTTCCCTTAGAGGTGCAACGCCGGCAGTTTAGGTGGTTCTGCTACCTGCAAGCCAAAGGACCCCGAGAGGTTTGCAGCCGACTCTACCACCTTTGCTGTCAGTGGCTGAAGCCAGAAAGGCACACGAAAGCTGAAATGCTGGACCTGGTGATCTTGGAGCAGTTCCTGTCTGTCCTTCCACCAGCGATGGAGAGCTGGGTGAGGGAGTGTGGAGCAGAGACCAGTTCCCAGGCAGTGGCCCTGGCCGAAGGTTTCCTCCTGAGTCAGGCAGAGGAGAGAAAGCAGGTGAGAGAGACTTTCCTCTGGATACTCCCAAGGGGCTCCAAACAGGACGGAGAACATCCCATAATGCTTTAGTGATTGCCAATCCTTTTTCTGAGAAGGCATCCATGGAATGAGATCTAACACCCTTAACCTTTTTGTATTTGTCATTCTCTTTCTAATATTTCTTGCCATTCATTCTCTGTTTTTAATCCTTGTTGTTCTTTCAGGGAAAGGATCATTTTGCAGAAATGGACCTGGATTCCTGTGAGGCAGAGAGGCCTCCGTTGGACACCAGAGAGAGGTCACTGGGTAAGGAGGAAGGTGGTTTTTCATTCTGTTGATTTTCATCTTGTTTTGGAGGGAGACAGTTGGGAGGAAGGGTCCAGGGGAGGGGAGATGTATTTCTGCACAACTAACATATGAAATGGGCACAAGCGTCCAACTGCGCTCAGCAGGAAAGGCTTTCGCAAAGGCCCATCTGCAGATAGAGATGCCCTGCTTCACCTGTGAGAGAAGCAGGCACTGCTAGCGTCGTACTTACCTTTCTTCTCTTGCAGGTGGCATAATGAGACCTCTTCATTCATCTTTTCATGGGGGCAGAATAGAAGCAGTGGCTGTGGAACCAGATCAGGTCAGAGGAAGCTATCTTTTGGGGACAGAGGCCGAGGGGTGGAACCACGACAACACTGTTGTCTCAGAGGAGGACAATTCCCTTTTTCTTTCAGGGTCCTGTGTGCTTTGATGATGTTGCCATTCGTTTCACGGATGAGGAGTGGGAGTTGCTGGATCCTGACCAGAGAGCTCTGCATAAGGACGTCATGGAGGAGAATCGTGGGATCGTGGCCTCTCTTGGTAAGGCTCCTTGTGGGATCATAATATCTGTTTTTAAATTCAAAGCAGCTCTCGTGTGACGAACCTCATATATTTTCATAGAATTCAACAGCGCCCCCTTAAATCGCCTGGGATTACAATATTCCCACAATAAACCTTGAACCGTGAATTATTCTTTTCTCCCGTGAATGTTCTTCCTGCAGTTGCAGCTTCTTAAACTGTTATCAGAGTCGTCTGAATTGCCCAGGCGATTTTAAATGTAAACCTCTGAGTTGTTAGGGAAGTTGTAGTAGCTCCTGTCAGGTTTTCTGTTTTTGTTTTGCTCTTGTCAGTCTTTGGTTGACCAGAGAGAAGACTGATATTGGAAACGGAGGGGATGCCATGATGGAGCCAAACAAAATCCATTAAGAGAAGAGCCAGGCTTATCAAATCACAGGTTCATCTGAGGTTGTCAGTTGAGACTTCCACTTTGCCTTAAAAATGGCAATAAGGCGAGAGTCCAGTTCCTAGGAATGGACTCGGATCACCCCGGGGGTCGGGGGAAAGCGAGAAGGTGAGCCCCCCAAAAGCTCAAAAGGGTTTCTTGAGCCCCAAAAGCGTCCAGCAGCATGTTTCTGAGAGCCTTCCCGCCTGCTCAGTGCTCTGAAAGGCATGGGGGGGTTAAGATTGGGCCGTCGCACAAGGCTCCTTTGTAACCCAGTGGCGAGAAGCCTTGAACTTCACACCAATTTTTTTATATAATTTTTTTATTAGTTTTTCACATTTTTAGACACTTGTCTCTAACCAATTCAAACATCAAGTTACAAGGTTCTCTGAACCTTCAGACTCCACCCCCCCATCCCATGGGTTCATGTATTTTAAATTCCAGTTTTCTGCATCTTATGTCTTATCCAACTATTGTATATCTTTAATTATCATAACCAACTTCACATTACAATGTCATTACAATGCTATCAATTATTTTAATTGTTTATAATGGTGTTTTTTTTAATAAAGTACAAATTTACTCCAGTCTGTAAGAAATACCGGTACTTTTTCCTCTTGGTTTCTGATCTCCCCCGTCAGTGTCACCATTTCCACATACTTCCTCAATTTCGTCTGCCATTCTTCCCTCATTGGCAATTCTTCTTTCCATTTTTGGGCTGGTAGCATTCTCGCCGCTGCCGTTGCATACAGAAAACGTCTTTTATCTTCACTTGGTATTTCTTCACCTTTTAAACTTAAAAAAAAGGCTTCTGGTTTCTTAGCAAATCTACTTTTAAACATTCTTTTTAGTTTATTATAAATCATTTTCCAGAAGTCATTTACCTTAGAACAAGACCACCACATATGATAAAATGTACCTTCTCTCTCTTTACATTTCCAATGTCTCTCTCTTTACATACAGTGGTACCTCAGTTTAAGTACTTAATTCCTTCCAGAGGTCTGTTCTACACCTGAAACTGTTCTTAACCTAAAGCACCACTTTAGCTAATGGGGCCTCCTGCTGCTGCCGCGCCGCCAGAGTACGATTTCTGTTCTCATCCTGAAGCAAAGTTCTTAACCCGAGGTAATATTTCTGGGTTAGTGGAGTCTGTAACCTGAAGCTTATGTAACCTGAAGTGTATGTAACCCGAGGTACCGCGGTATTTGATTTAGTTTTTTACATTTTTGCAATCTTCCTTGGTGTTAGGTTCCAACAGTACATCATTTTCATATAATTTTCTTTCAGTGAAGAGCATACAGTAAATTTTATTTCTTCTTTCCACAACTTTTCCCATGATGAAACTTGAATGCTATACCCAAAATCTCTAGCCCAATTCAATTTATCATCACTGCTTTAACTTCTTCATCTTTCGTAAAGCATTCCAAAATTATTTGTACATTTTTATCATATTTTCACCTTATTTTCCAACAGATCATTCTCAAATCTCCATCTTTCTGTAGCAAACCCTCTTTTTTTATCTACTTTTAAAACATCCTTTAATTGGTGGTACTGTAACCAATCTGTTAATATTCCTCTTATCTCTTCAAATTTTCTCAATTTTAATTGGCCATCTGCCTCTATCAACAATTCTTTATAGGTAGCCCAATCTCCTCTCATTTACTCTTTTAACTGAAATTGCTTCCAATGGGGGAGAGGCACCATGGTGTTCTTTGCGCTAATAAATTTTTATATCTATCCCATACCTCGTAACTTAGTTTCCTTGTCACATGGTTCAGGAATCCTTTCTGTACTTTAGTTTTATCAAACCATAAATATGCATGCCACCCAAAACAGTTCTCATGTGCTTCCAGATCTAGTAAATCTGTATTTTTCAACAAAATCCATTCCCGCAACCAGCAAAGACAGGACGCTTCATATTATAATCTTTTCCAGTGCTTTTGGTACATTGGACAAAGGTTCTTCTATTGTTATTGTTAATATTCTTATTTGGCCAGTTTCACTCTGAGAGGGGACTTTTAAAAAATGGATTTAATATATTCATTAGAAGATACAATAGTTGTGGGAGTTGTGGAAAGTGGAGGCAGCCTGGCAGCTGCATCTGAGAGCCCCTGATCTGCCTCTGGGGATCAGAGGTGCATTGGGACTGGGGGGGGGGGAGGTTTCTTTTGAAACTACTTTGACTCATTCGCTTATTTTATGTTCGTTGAAAGTGGAATCTGAAATGTGTGGGGGAGGATGTCTAGTGGTAGAGAATGGTAATTACAACTGCAGATTTAATATTTAGAGGAAAACAATGGCTGGAAGGTGGGGAAGAGTGACACCTGGAGGAGGCAGCAAAAGTAACATCTGGGTAAAGAAATTATGATAACATATTAAGTTCAAAATATAGAAATAAAGAGTATGGCAACATGGAAGCCACAGGCGGTGGCAGGAGCTACAATTATGACCCTAGCCCAAAGGAGAAGAGGGTCCACCCAAAAATCAAAGGGAAAATTAGATATTGCAGAATGGATCATGGAATTGAAGAAAGATGTAAAAGACAAGGCAAAAACTGTAGAAGACAAATTGGAAAAGATGAGAGGAAAGAAAGAACAAAAATAGAAAATCAGTAGTGGATTTGACAGGGCAGATCAAATCATTATCAACTAAAACTACAAAACAAGGGAAATTGGTACAGGAACTAAAAACAAAAACAAGGCCTAGAGAAGATGACTAAGAAAACACAAGCTGAAGGAAGAGCACTTCAAAAAGGACAGGAAAAAATAAGGAAGAATCAACTGAATTATAGGGGATGCAAGAAGGGACTCAATTGCAGTCCTGAAAATGCAGTAGAAAGAACTGACTTTCAGATTGAGAGGGATTCCAGAAGTCACAGATGAAGATATAAGAAACAAAATAACAAAAGAATTGGCTAGCTGGGTGGAAATTCAAGAAGAAAAATTGAATCTATCTGTGGAAAAATGAAATAATACAGAAAGATAAAAAATGCTGAAGAAAAGAATAAATATTGAACAGGGGGAGTCCATGGGTTTGAGACAATCCTGTATTTCTTATTATTTATATTTGATTGTATATGTAAACATTTAATTGGAAATCCAATAAAAAAATTAATGATATAAATGATGTCAGTTGATCCCTGTTAATATATGCATCCAACCCTGTAGTAAAACTATCCATCTAACCCAATTGTTATTCCTCTATTACCAGTGTTAACAAGTATTCTTCATGAATTGTGGACTCTCTTTCTCCCGTAGACACTAATCCATTTCTCTCTTCATTGCAGATAATGATGAACTGGAAATCAAGAACAAGGGTGACCAGGACAAAATCCCCGCAATGGAGAAGCCTTATAAATATCTTGAAGGTGGAAAAAGTTTCCATTCCACTTCCCATCAAATAAATCCCACTGGGAAGAAACCATATCAGTGCATAGAATGTGGAAAGGGCTTCAAGACGAACTCCTCTCTGAGTTCCCATCAAAGAATTCATACAGGGGAGAAACCGTATCAGTGTGTGGAATGTGGAAAGAGCTTCAGTATGAACTATTATCTCACGAAGCATCACAGAATTCATACAGGGGAGAAACCCTATAAGTGTGTGGAATGTGGAAAGAGCTTCAGTACGAACTATGATCTCACTAAGCATCACAGAATTCATACAGGGGAGAAACCCTATAAGTGTGTGGAATGTGGAAAGAGCTTTATTCAGAACTCCCATCTCACTTTACATAAAAGAATTCATACAGGGGAGAAACCCTATCAGTGTGTGGAATGTGGAAAGAGCTTCAGTATGAGCTCCAATCTCATGAAGCATCAGAGAATTCACAGAGGGGAGAAACCCTATCAGTGTGTGGAATGTGGAAAGAGCTTCAGTAGGAGCTCTGATCTCACTAAGCACCAGAGAATTCATACAGGGGAGAAACCATATAAATGTGTGGAATTTGGAAAGTGCTTCAGTCACAACTCCTCTCTCACTTTCCATCAAAGTAGTCATACAGGGGAGAAACGCTATAAGTGTGTGGAATGTGGAAAGAGCTTCAGACAGAGCTCCAATCTCATGACGCATCAGAGAATTCACAGAGGGGATAAACCCTATCAGTGCGTGGAATGTGGAAAGAGCTTCAGTACGAGGTCCTATCTCGTTAGGCATCTGAGAATTCACAGAGGTGTAAAACCCTATCAGTGCATGGAATGTGGAAAAAGCTTCAGGAAGAGCTCCGATCTCACTTCCCATCACAGAATTCATACAGGGGAGAAACCATATAAATGTGTGGAATGTGGAAAGAGCTTCAGTATGAAGTCCTATCTCCGTAAGCATCTGAGAATTCACAGAGCTGTAAAACCCTATCAGTGCATGGAATGTGGAAAGAGATTCTGTCAGAGGACCGATCTCACTTCCCATCAACTAATTCATACAGGGGAGAAACCCTATCAGTGCGTGGAATGTGGAAAGAGCTTCAGGCAGAGCTCTAGTCTCACTTGCCATCACAGAATTCATACAGGGGAGAAACCCTATAAGTGTGTGGAATGTGGAAAGAGCTTCAGTTCGAGCTCTCATCTCTGTAAGCATCTGAGAACTCACAGAGGTGTAAAACCCTATCAGTGTGTGGAATGTGGAAAGAGCTTCACTAATAGCTCAAATCTCACTAAGCATCAGAGAATTCATACAGGGGAGAAACCACATCAGTTGGTGGAATGTGGAAAGAGCTTCAGTCACAGCCACAGTCTCGATTCCCATCATAGAATTTATACTGAATAAGCCATATAATTGCTTGGAATATAGAAAGAGCTTCAGCTATAGCTCCTCTCTCTTTTCCCATTAAATAATTCATACGAAGGGTGGAAAACCCTTCATTGCACAGCTTTAGGCTGCAGGGAAAAACATAACTGCTTAACCAGGCCTTTGGCTGATTGACATCTAATGCCCTTTTAAATGTGGTGAGGAGGGGGGTGGTTTACAGTTATTTATTTTTATTTATTTTTGTTTTTTTTTATATTGTGGTTTTATGTTGTAACTGCCCTGAGGGCATAGGACTGCTGAGGCAAACTCGGCCCTCCAGATGTTTTGGGACTACAATTCCCATCATCCCTGACCACTGGTCCTGTTAGCTAGGGATCATGGAAGTTGTAGGCCGAAAACATCTGGAGAGCCGAGTTTGCCTACGCCTGGTATAGGGCACAGGAGGTAACTCTTAGAGGCGGAAAGGCCTTTGTCCCCCCCTAAAATATATGAGGGACCACCCCCCCTGCTTTATAGGCATTGCCATTCAAATGGTGCATGCAGCACATCATATGATTGATTTTGCGAGATAGGGCTTACCTCCCCCCCCCCCAATATTTTATTCAAGTTGGCACCCCTGGTATAGGGCAGTATAGAAATTAAATAAATGCATAAATAAAATAAGACCATCTTGGTCGTCTTCATTTGCACATGTTCCAGCATGTCAATATCCTTATTATCATTTTTAAAATTTATGTGCCCTCGTCTGAAGATTTCACAATATAAACATACAGGATGAAAGCATGGCTTTCTCAAAAACAAGTAAAGCCAGAGAAATCTCCCCCCCCCCCATTTTTTTTGGATGGAGTTACAAACTTTGTTGATCAGGGGACAGCTGTGGAAATAGTGCGTCTTGATTTCAGTAAGGCTTTTGACAAAGTCCCCTGCGATATTTATGTGAGGAAGCTCGTAAAATGTGGGCTGAACGAGGTAACTGTTAGGTGGATTTGACTGACTGAACCCAAACCGTCCTCCTTCATGGTTCCTCATCATCTTGGCAAAAGTGACAAGAGGGGTGTTGCAGGGTTCTGCCCTGGGCCCATTATTGAATTTCGTTATAAATGATTTGGATGAAGGAACTGAGGGGATGCTCATCACATTTGCAGACGACACCAAATGGGGAGCGGAGGCCAATGTGGCAGAAGGAAGAATCAGATCAAGTGCAGGAATAGTACCACTTGATTCTACCTTGGCCAGGCCCCACCTACAATCCTGTGTTCAATTCTAGGCACCACAATTTAATTACAGTGGTACCTCTAGTTACGAACTTAATTCATTCCTGAGGTTCGTTCTTAACCTGAAACTGTTCTTAAGTAGAGGCATGCTTTCGCTAATAGGGCCTCTTGCTGCCGCTGCGCTGCTGGCACACAATTTCCATTCTCATCCTGGGGCAAAGTTCTCAACTCGAAGTAACTCTTCCAGGTTAGTGGAGTTTGTAACTTGAAGCGTTTGTAACTTGAGGCATTTGTAACTCAAGGTACCACTGTATCTTAAACTTTGTTTGCCTGGGTAAATAAAAAAGTTGAGGAACACAATCCATATTCCTTTTTAACACATGGCCAATGTTTATTGAATACATAAATTGTTAAGACTGTTGTAGGAATCCACCCGGCACTCATAGAAAAATGTGTTGTGATTTTTTAGAATAATCAAATGAAACTTTAAAACATGGCAGGATGAAAGTCTGCAATTTCATCAGGACAAGTTATTTGTTGTTTACTGTTGTAACCATTGCCTTCTCAAAATTTATCTTCTGTACCATGAAAATAAATAAAAACAATGTTTTAAAAAAAGGAGGTGGGGAACCATTAATCTGCTTGCATGTGTTGAGTGTAATTTGGAGACTGTAACTTCCAGTAATTTCACATTATCTATGTGTTTCTCATGCGGGTGTTACCCACGCGGGTGGCGCTGTGGGTAAAACCTCAGCGCCTAGGACTTGCTGATCACATGGTCGGCAGTTCGAATCCCCGCAGTGGGGTGCGCTCCCATTGCTCGGTCCCTGCGCCTGCCAACCTAGCAGTTCGAAAGCACCCCCGGGTGCAAGTAGATAAATAGGGACCGCTTACTAGCGGGAAGGTAAACGGCGTTTCCGTGTGCGGCTCTGGCTCTCCAGAGTAGCTTCGTCACACTGGCCACGTGACCCGGAAGTGTCTGCGGACAGCGCTGGCTCCCAGCCTCTAGAGTGAGATGAGCGCACAACCCTAGAGTCTGTCAAGACTGGCCCATAAGGGCAGGGGTACCTTTACCTTTACCTTTTATGTGTTTCTGTGTGTTCAGCACACAGTTGCAGGTGAGACTGAATAAAATATTTCTAGGAAATTCCCTTTGATTGCTTCTGTATTGTTACTAATGTGACTTCACTTACAGATAAGAACAAACCATATATATTGCTGACAAATCATACCATCGTCAGCTCATTAGTCTCAACCCCAACAAACCCAGCGCTTAACAGGAGCAACTGCTTTCTTTCCATTTCTTAGGTGGAAATGACTGATAATGAAAAGGAAGAAGGGAGATGGTGTCAGAAACGTGGCCTCCCAGGACCCCGTAGGAGAGGAGCATCGGAAAGGGAACAAGGGAACGAGGCTTCTGATGAGGGAAAAGACTTCATTTTCAGGGCTGACAGTCCACAACCGCAGCCCTCCTTTCCCAGACCAGACACTCCCAGCTCAGGGGGAGAGAGAGAGCTGGAAGCAGCCAAGGCAACGGCATCGTTCTGGAGCTGACAGAGGCTGGGAATCCAAGCAGGCAAAGAGAGATAAGGACACTGGAATGTGAGAGAGCGGAGGGGCAGCCGAGTGGCAGAGCTTCAGAGAGCAGGCAGCAGATATCAAAGATCCAAATGCCAATCTTAGCTCAGAGACAGAAGGGGAGAGGGCAGGAATAGCTAGCCCCAAAACTCAAAGGCGCGAAAAGGTCAGTGAGAGGAGGGGGAAAGAGCGGAAGCGAAAGGGCTTTTTCCCCTGTTGGAAGAAGAGGAAGGGGCGGAGTTTAGACTCAGCAACTGCAAACTTGGAGTCAGACACGGAGTGAAGGAGCTCCGGAGTGATTTATGTGTTTGAGCAATAAAGCTGAGATAATTACTGCCGGTGTCTCGCTTCTGTGGGACAGACAAGCCATTACAGGCAGGCTGCCAACAGGTCAGATAGCCTTGGAAGCGTTGTCCACAGACGGTGAGGAAGAGCCAATCCAGGCGATCAGTCCTTGATCTCGGTGTTGGGAACGCCTGAAAGAAGAGCGGAAGGGGGAGGGTGAACGTAGGAGATTCTGGCGTCATTTCTGTTGGGGTTGGAGCTCTGATTCAGATTAGAGCATCTGTTGTTGCTGAGAGGGAGTGAGAAGCTTGCTCTGGATGCCTTATTCTGTAAATAAAACTAGCTTGAACTGGCAGGAGTCTTCCTCTTTGCAGAGCAGCTCACGGCCAGAGGTCGTTATAGGCAGACCCTTTCCCTCAACCTTTAGGGATCTGGGGGGCTTCATTTCAGCCCTTACTCCTGCTCCTGAAAGCTTGGCAGATCTGGAGTATTTCCTCTTTTAGAATAATCAAATGTAACTTTAACACACTGCATGAGGAAAGCTTGCAATTTCATCAGGACAAGTTATTTGTTGTTTACTGTTGCAACCATTGCCTTCTCAAAATTTATCTTCTGTACCATGACAATAAATAAAAACAGTGTTGTCCACAGACGGTGAAGAAGAGCCCTTAGTCCTGCTCCTGAAAGCTTGGCAGATCTGGAGTATTTCCTCACACATTGCCATGACTGAAAAAGCAATCTTCTTTTTTTTTTAAATTAAAATGGTACTGCAGTGCTAAGAAAGCTCAAGAATGCAATTCCTGTAGTATTTGGCATCTTAGCAAGCCCAATGCCACTCTGCCAACTGTCTCACTCCCAGCTAACTAATCTGGAAAGCTGTCCTGTCATCTCTGCAAGGACTTCAGTGTCCCTTGAATTAGCACTTCAGCATTTCTGGAAGGGGAAATGATATACCTTTGTATATTAGCATAAAAAAACATGCATGAGAAAGTATTACTCATTTATAATGAGAATATGATTTATCGGCTGTGCTGAGGACTGCAGGGCCTGCTCCCTTCCAAGGCTTTTTCCAACTGGCCTAGAGGGCGGGGCCCAGGCCCTCCCCCTCCCAGCTACAAAAGGACTCCTGCTGCAGTGCCTAGAGGGAGGGGCTGGATTCATTGGAACAAACTTGGGGAATTGCAGGCGGGGGGGGGGGTGTTCTACTATTGCTTCCCTGTTTCAAGTGTCTAATGTGTTTTAATATGTTATTAAGCAGTTTATGGCATTTTAAGTTTTTTCTTCACCCCCCCCCCCCCCCTTTTGCTTTGTTGAGGATGGGATGGACATCTGGTTGGGGGTTAATTTTAGTATAATTGTTGTTGCTGTTTTGTTTTTGCTTTTTATTGTTTTGTTAGCTGTTGTATAGTTTGTGTTTTGTTTTAAGGTCTGCCTGGGAGTGGGCCCCAGCCAACAGAATGGCTGGGGCAGTTTCCACAGGGGGGGATGCACTGGGTCATCCGATCTCAGTGACCACGGGTAGGAGGAGGAGTTACGCTAAGACCAGATCATGTCATTACCGAGGAAGCAGGTTTAGTCGTTGTTTGAAGACTATCCCTGCCTCCGGGTCTGGTGGATACTGGAAGGATACTGGAATCAGCAAGGGAGACCCACATCCTAAAGTGCTGCTGTGAAATGCCAGGTCAATGACTCACAAGACAGCTGTCATCCATGACTTAATTGTGGATGGAGGACTTGACCTGGCATGTGTAACAGAGACTTGGTTGGATGAAGCAGATGGGCCTGTCCTTGCCGCTGCTTTTCCACCAGGTTTCTCTTATGCACAGCAACCCAGGTCATGTGGGCGCAGAGGGGTGGGGTTGCAGTGATTTTTAGGAAGTCATTAGCTTACACCAGGCGTCCTATTGGGAAGACCCAGTTCTTTGAGTGCATGTTCTGTAATGTTGGGCAACAGGAGCAGTACAGGATTCCTTGAGGTGTACCGACCTCCCCACTGCACCAAGGATTCCCTGCCCAAGCTGCTTCAGGTCGTGGCAGATGGATGTTCTCCCAGAGACACGTAGTTTGGTTGTCCTAGCCAACACAACTTCGCAAGGGGCCGCTTGGGACTTCGTGGAAAGCATGGCCTCCATGGGGCTGTGCCTGAATAAGTTTGGCCCAAATCATAGTCACGGACATGCCTTAGACCAGGTGTTCACCTTTGTGGTTGTGGGTGATGTGATGCTAAGTAAAAGTGAGACAAAAGAAGTGCCATGGTCAGATTTTGCTAATTAAGAGGCTGAAAGGAAAATACCACGCTGTTGCATGAGAAGAACAAAGGAATGTTTATTGTCTTTGCTGGCCAGACAGACAGGCTTGGTGGATTCACATCCAAAAGGACTGAGAACCCTCCTGAAGAAGGGGCCTTCCTAATATACTTTTCCCTCATCTGTTAAGACTATACATATGCATAGAGTACCTTCCAATCATTTGGGATAACACCCTACTAGTGATTCCATATAAGGACTCTGGTTAATTGCATATTAATTAAGCAAGCAAACAAAGGACTCTCTGGGCACCTTCATGCCGCATGTGGGCCTCTTCTGTATTATGCATACACTTTGGTATGTGGTGAACAAGGAGTAAGGGCATTCCTGGTACCTTAAGGACAGAATGTCTCCTGATAAAATGGGGCAACTCTTTGGTGCAAGATTAGCTGCAGGTCTCTAATTGCCACAGTCAGGTCACTTCCTGGTGCAACTGGACTTCTCCGTGACCCTTCCCCTCTGCAGGGAGGTAGGACTGATACGGATGCTCTGCCCCCGCCACTTAATGGATCCAAATGGTTTCCAGAGAGTGGTAGGGGATGCTTTATCCCATGTTGATGACCTTTTAGCTGATTCCCTGGTGGCCCGCTGGAATCTGGAGTTAACCAGGGCTATCGACTGTCTAGCTCTGAAGCACCTTCTCTGATTGAATGAAGCGCAGATAGCTCCATGGTTTTCCCTGGAGCTGAGCATGATGAAACAATTGCTGAGATGGCTAGAGAGCCAGTGGTGGAAAACTCATTTTGAATTGTACCAGACACGGGTTAGAGCTCAACATCAAGCCTACCAAGTGGTGATTGTGGTGGCAAAGTGGACTTTCTTCACCACCTCTATTGCATCTGCAGAAAACAGCAGCAGGAGACTCTTTCAGGTGGTTCACAATTTAACAGAACCACCTTTGCCATCGGAGCCTGGTAAAGACCCCAAGATCTCCTGCAATGATTTTGCAAAGTTTTTTGCAGATAAAGTCGCTTAGACTCGGAAAAAGGTAGACTGCACTGTGGGAGCAAGGCCAGGGCGGGAGAGTGCTAGAACCCTGTCTGGTCAAGTTGTATGGAATGAATTCCAATCTGTTACCTCCAAGGATGTGGACAGGCTGCTTGGATGAGTGAAACCAACCACCTGTCTCCTTGATCCTTGCCCATCCTGGCTCATAAAAGTGAGCTGGGAAGGGCTGGGCGATGGGTTCTGCGGGGCAGTATATGCTTCCCTCTGTGAGGGAGTCTTCCCAGACCCACTGAAAGAGGTGGTCATTAAACCGCTTCTTAAAAAAAATATATTTGGACCTGGCCAATATGGCCAACTATCGCCCGGTCTCAAATCTTCCATTCTTGGGTAGGGTGATTTAACAGGTGGTTGCTGAACAACTACAAGCATGTCTGGAGGATCCGGACCATTTGGATCCCTTCCAATCAGGATTCAGGTCTCTCCCCCCCCCCCCGCAAAATCGGCTTTAAACAGTTCCATAAATATGTCAATCAATCCATTGGGGGGGGGGAGGGGGCGTGGCCCCCGAAGAGAAGCTGCTCTGGTCCAGCCAGGAGAGAGGGATGGGGGGGAGGTAGTTGCACACGCTCCCCACTCCGCCCCAGTTGCTCCCCGGCTCTGGATCTCCGCTCCCCCCCCCTTTCTGCGCTCCAGCAATTCAAGCTGAATTGAGAGACTAGCCGGGATCTGTTCAGGGGCGCAGGGTGTCGGTCAGGTTGTGCAAAGCGAGAGAGGGCTCAGCTGGGGGACCCAGCTTGGCAAGGGTTAAAGGGAACCGAGCTGCCTTCCTAGAGAGGCCAGGAGGCAAGGGGGGGCAGGTCCTCCCGAGCCAAGGCCCCTCCCTCCCCAGTCCTTTCCTGCTTGGGTGTCTCTCTTGCAAGGGCTGCCTCGCTCTCCCCTCCTGGGATCTGGTGAGTCTCCTCTCCCCCCCCCAAGGGTGCAGTGGGGAGACGGGGGGGGTCCCAGGGCTGCAGGGGAGGATGGATCAAGCGGGGGGGGGGTAATCCCAGGAGCAGGGTGTCCTGCCAGGGATAAGTGAGGTCGCACGAGGTTTGCAACTACTCTATATTCTGCATTTGTATAAATGCACAGCTTGCCCCTTTGAGGAGGTGTCTGTGGGTCAGAGGGAAAGGGGCTCGCAAATAAACCCCCTTCAGATTTAGGAATCGGCCACGTCTATTAGCACAGGCTGCAGCCAGGCAGAAAGGTTTGGACAATAGATAAATGCTAGAAATGGAAAGCAACAACAATCCCGACCAACGCAAGAAAGCAAGAAATCCTTTTGGAAGATGGAGGTGCCGAGTTGAACTGTGGAACTCCCTCCCACAGGAGCAAGGGGGGGCCACCAACCCGGGTGGTTTGAAAGAGGATGGGGCCAGTTCATGGAGGAGAGGGCGATGGGGGCTCCTGAATCCCCCAGGAGGAGAGCTTGGCTCTTGTTCTCCAGTCCTGCAGGGGCGCAAGGCAGGAGAGGCACCAGGTTGCCCTGTGGTCAGAGGAGCTGGGCCTGATCCTGGCTGGCACACTTGCGCCCATTCAGATATGCAAGCCCCCAGAGGATCTTTGGAAACTGAACACAAAGCCCTGCTGAGAATCAAGGAAGGTCTTGTCAGGAGTTTCATTCTCTCCTGTGCTGCAGAGTGAATGTGATTACTAGATCACATGCTCTGTTTGTTGACATTCCATTCTTTGGAAGCCTGGGAAGGGAAGGAACTGTGCGCCACTTCTGTCTTCTTTGTTCTGGTTTTTTTTTTTTTTTTTGTTCTCTCTCGGAGGAGAAGAGACACGCCATAATGGCTCTGTTCTTTATTTCGAACCTGTAAATAAATCACTAAACCCAGAGGCTACGTATCCTCAGTCTCAGCTTCTGCTGAGCTCTGCTGCTTGCTTGAACGTCAGGAGGCGTGAATGTGTGCTATGCATTCCAGACCGGTGCTGGGAGAAGGCTGTCTCCCACCCAGAAGCACCAACCAAGGTCTCACCATCCAAGGCAGGAGAGGACCTGCTGGGAAGGAAGCAAACCTGGGCTGGGGGTGAAAGAGGCAGCTCCCCTCCCTGTGCCCAGTGCTGAGAGTGGTTGGGAGACCCTCTCTCTCCGTCCCATCCCCCCGACTGAGCTCCCATTCCTAGGGATCCCTGGGGCGGGGGTGTCTCCTAGCAACTCTCAGCATTCTTAGCAAAGTACAGTTCCAGGCTTTTTGGAGGAAGCCAGGACTCTTGGTCGTGGCCTGATCCTGCTGTGAAGATGCAGCTCCGGCTGGGTCCTAGGTGTGTTTGTTGCTTTTTTATTCTCTTTCTGGAATAACTTTCTGCTGGGGTTTTGTAAACCAGAAGCCTAGGAATAATAAATGATAAAGAGTGATAGACCGAGTTTCTCAAGTAGTTTGTACATCACAAAAATGACAGAACAAATTTGTGGCAAAATCTGCATCATATGTTTCACTACAAGTGGTCTGTGTATAGCTTCTTAGTTTGTGAGTTAGTTTAAACCAAAACAGAAAGGGGGGGGGAGAACATTCAGCATGTTAGAATATTTCCGTTCTACCTTAAAAGGGAGCAGGCTGTGAGTCACAGAGTCTGCGTATTTCCTGTTCACAGGATGTTTATGTTTCCTATTGCTTTCGTTTTTTCTCTCTGTGTCTGGAGACACTGACGCAGGCAGTCATGTCTTTCTTTGTTCTGATCAACGCAGAATAAAACTTGTAAATAATGCTCTCCTGGGTGCGACTTTTGCTGTGCATTATCTGCTGATAAAGAGTGTGCATGAGCTCTGGAATGTGGCAAGATATTTTCTAGAAACTCATGTCGCTAATTGCTGATACTGCGTGCCTACGGGAGATCGATGGATCGTCCGGCAGACGGCTTGGGGCCATGATGGACATTGTCTCCCTGGCAGTATCCCAACACAGCACCCCACAGCCAAACGTCTAGTCAAGAGCCCTTGTGGATGTGCTTGGGTTAAATTGGAGCAAGTCATTTCCCCCCTTAGGTGGCAAACAAAACAGGATAATATGCTTGTCTGTTGAGGAACCTGGGAGACGGGTTCAAATAGAATGTAATGATTTTTGTTGGAATTCAAATTTAGATGAATCAGATTACACCAAATGATAACGGGGAGTGTGTGTGTATTTTCTTGGGCCTTTATTCTCCCCCCACGTTAGACTTCAGGGAACATGTTGGATCCACGAGTACCCCAAGATTACCAAGAAAAAGGGACCCCACCCCAGTAAACCCCCACTCCTACCTCCAGTTGTCTGCAAATTTGGCATTGTACTTTCCTGGGTAGAATCTGGGCTGTGGTACAGTCTTACCCTGGATACTACCAAGTCTCATACAAACTTGCTCAGGGAACCATTTTTCTTCTCCTTATGGTGCATCAGCATTATAACAAAACAATGTATTTGCTTTGTAGGATTTGCTAGCACCTCATTAGCACAGGCAGAACTTGGCAGAAGACCAAAGGGTTCCTTTCAATCTCTTAGAGACTTCCTGAGAGCACAGATGGATCAGCAAGACTCAGCTGACCCTGGAACAGGAAGAGGCCATGTCATCCAAACTGGTAGCAGTGGGGGATTCTGGGAAAACTCTGTGCAGAAGATCTTGGGTGAAGAGGATGCCCTCCGCTCAGAGGTGCAGAGCCAGCAGTTGAGGCAGTTCTGCTGCCAGGAGGCCAAAGGACCCCGAGAGGTTTGCAGCCGACTCTACCACTTTTGCCACCAGTGGCTGAAGCCAGAAAGGCACACGAAAGCTGAGATGCTGGACCTGGTGATCTTGGAGCAGTTCCTGGCTGTCCTTCCACCGGAGATGGAGAGCTGGGTGAGGGACTGTGGAGCGGAGAGCAGTTCCCAGGCGGTGGCCCTGGCCGAAGGTTTCCTCCTAAGTCAGGCAGAGGAGAGAAAGCAGGCAGAGCAGCAGGTGAGGGAGACTTTCCTCTGGATACTCCCAAGTGGCTCCAAACAGGATGGAGAACATCCAAAAATGGTCTGCTGATGGCCCATCCTTTTTCTGGGAAGGCATCCATGGAATGAGATCTAACACCCTTAAACTTTTTATATTTGTCATTCTCTTTCTAATATTTCTTGTCATTCATTCTCTGCTTTTTAATCCTTGTTGTTCTTTCAGAAAAGGGATCATTTTGCAGAAATGGACCTGGATTCCTGTGAGGCAGAGAGGTCTCCGTTGGACACCAGAGAGAGGCCACTGGGTAAGGAGGAAGGTGGTTTTTCTCCGTTTGTTCTCATTCTGTTGGTTTTCCAACTAATCTGAAGGTTTTTTTAATCTTTTTTTGTGGGGCGGGGACTGTTGGGAACAAGGGTCCAGAGGAGGAGAGATGTATTTTTGTACAACTAACATATGAAATGGGCACAAACCTCCAACTGCACTCAGCAGGAAAGGCTTTCTCAAAGGCCCATCTGCAGTTAGAGATGCCCTGCTTCACCTGTGAGAGAAGCAGGCATTAATGGCGTCCTGCTTACCTTTTTTCTCTTGCAGGAGACAGAATGATGCTGGCAGGACCTTCTGATCCACTTTTTCATGGGAGCAGAAGGGAAGCAGTGGCTGTGGAACCAGATCAGGTCAGGGGAAGCTGTCTTGTGGAGACAGAGGCCGAGGGGTGGAGCGACAACACTGTTCTGTCAGAGGAGGACATTTCCCTTTTTCTTTCAGGGTCCAGTGTGCTTTGATGATGTTGCCATTCATTTCACGGATGAGGAGTGGGAGTTGCTGGATCTTGACCAGAGAGCTCTGCATAAGGACGTCATGGAGGAGAATCGTGGGATCATGGCCTCTCTTGGTAAGGCTCCTTGTGGGATCATAATATCTGTTTTTAAATTCAAAATTGCTCTCTGTGATGTACCTCATACATTTTCATAGAATTGAACAGCACCCCCTTAAATCACCTGGGATTACAATATTCCCACAATAAACCTTGAGCAGCGAATTATTATTTTCCCCCGTGAATGTTCTTCCTGAATTTGCAGCTTCTTATACAATCATCAGGCTGGTCTGTATTGCCTAGGCAATTTTAAATGTAAACCTATGAATTGTTAGAAGAAGAAGAAGAAGAGTTTGGATTTGATATCCCGCCTTTCACTCCCTTTAAGGAGTCTCAAAGCGGCTAACATTCTCCTTTCCCTTCCTCCCCCACAACAAACACTCTGTGAGGTGAGTGGGGCTGAGAGACTTCAGAGAAGTGTGACTGGCCCAAGGTCACCCAGCAGCTGCATGTGGAGGAGCGGAGACGCGAACCCGGTTCCCCAGATTACGAGACTACCGCTCTTAACCACTACACCACACTGGCTCTCTTCTAGGGAAGTTGTAGTAGCTCCTGTCAGGTTTTCTGTTTTTGTTTTGCTCCTGTCAGTCTTTGGTTGACCAAAGAGAAGACTGATATTGGAAATGGAGGGGATTCTATGATGGAGCCAAACAAAATCCATTCAAGAGAAGAGCCAGGCTTATCGAATCACAGGTTCATCTAAGGATGTCAGTTGAGACTTCCAGTTTGCCGTAAAAATGGCAATAGGGTGAGAGTCCAGTTCCTAGGAATGGACTTGTATCACCCCGAGGTGTTGGGGTAAATTGATCCTTTTCTCAATTTTCCTTTCCGTAATATGTTGTAACTCTTCATTGCTTGTACAGTCATATATTTAATCAACATTTTGGTTTTTTATTTATTAAGCTTAAAACTGGCAACTTGTCCAAATTCCTGAATCTGAAATGTCCTTGGTTGTATTTCCACCTTTTTCGTTCTTCTTGTTAGTTTGCTGGATGTCTACATAAGTGTATTCTTCTAGCAGATTGATTTGGCTCCGAGAAAAAAGTATATTCTCTTTCTAATGGGTGTTCAAATCTCCAAATGTCTGCTAATTTAAAATTTTCCACCAAGTTAAAAAAGGTGGTTGGTGGTCTCCGCTTTTTTGAGTCTGTCTTCCTTATTGTTTTAATAACAAATGTTCAATTTTATTTCTTTTTACTTTATTATTTAGTCCATTTACATCCCAGGTCAAGATTTCCAAATCCATTTCCCAATTACATACACACATATATTAAGGGTCTTTTGCTTTATAATTCTTGTTTATCTTCTTTTTCTTTCTCTTCAAGGCCTGGTTCTCCTTCTGATCTATGGTCTCCCAAATCTTTCCTGTACCTTCTCCAGAATTTTTCGGCATCTGATTTGTCCCTACATCTGTGATTCTTCTCTTTGTAAGAGAATGAAATCCCCTGTGGGAATTCCCATCTGTAGGGAATTGTTGTTTCCCAAAGCATTCGTAAAGAATTTATAATTGGTTCTCTTCTTCAGCCATCTCAGTGGTATTTCTTTCAATATGATAATGTTCTGTTCCACAATACGTAATCTTCTTTTGAATTTCAATTGTAATATTCTGTCTTTAATTCCTCTTGAGTTGAATGTTGTCAAACAGTCCCCTGGCAGATTTTTTGCTTTTGCGAAACTTGATTGAATTCTGAAGACTTTTTCAATTGTACAATTAACAACTTCTTGTAATTCTAGCCAATTTGGCAGTTCTTTTACCATTTTATCTCTTTGTGTCTTGCCATCTCTGAAATCCCTCTAAATCTCAAACCCTAAAATATGCAGAAGAAAAGGATAAATATGGAACCGGGGGGGGGGGGAGTCCATGGGTTTGAGAGAATGCTATATATCTTACTATTTATATTTAATTGTCTATGTAAAAATTTAATTGGAAATCCAATAAAAAAATTAATGATATAAACAATGTCAGTTGATCCCTGTTAATATATGCATCCAACCCTGTACTAAAACCATCCATCTAACCAAATTGTTATTCCTCTATTACCAGTCTTAACAAGTATTCTTCATGAATTGTGGACTCTCTTTCTCCCATAGGCACTAATCCATTTCTCTCTTCATTGCAGATAATGATGAACTGGAAATCAAGAACAAGGGTGACCAGGACAAAATCCCCACAATGGAGAAGCCTTATAAATATCTTGAAGGTGGAAAAAGTTTCCATTCCACTTCCCATCAAATAAATCCCACTGGGAAGAAATCCTATCAGTGCATGGAATGTGGAAAGAGCTTCAGTCATAGCTCCCATCTCACTTCCCATCAAAGAATTCATACAGGGGAGAAACTGTATCAGTGTGTGGAATGTGGAAAGAGCTTCAGAAGGAGCTCCCATCTCACTGACCATCAAAGAATTCATACAGGGGAGAAACCCTATCAGTGCTTGGAATGTGGAAAGAGATTCTGTCGGAGCACCGATCTCAGTTCCCATCAAAGAATCCATAAAGGAGAAAAACCCTATCAGTGCTTGGAATGTGGAAAGAGCTTTAAAAGGACCTCCAATCTCACTTCCCATCAAAGAATTCATACAGGGGAGAAACCCTATAAGTGTGTGGAATGTGGAAAGAGATTCTGTTGGAACACCGATCTTGCTTTCCATCAAAGACTTCATAGAGGGGAAAAACCATATAATTGCTTGGAATGTGGAAAGAGCTTCAGTACCAGCTCCTATCTCTCTTCCCATCAAAGAATTCATACAGGGGAGAAACCCTATAAGTGTGTGGAATGTGGAAAGAGCTTCAGTGTGAGCTCTGATCTCACTAAGCATCAGAGAATTCATACAGGGGAGAAACCATACAATTGCTTGGAATGTGGAAAGAGCTTCAGTCACAGCCACAATCTCACTTCCCATCAAAGAATTCATACAGGGGAGAAACCCTATAAGTGTGTGGAATGTGGAAAGAGCTTCAGTATGAGCTCGAATCTCACGACCCATCAGAGAATTCACAGAGGGGATAAACCCTATCAGTGCTTGGAATGTGGAAAGAGCTTCAGTCACAACTCCTCTCTCACTTCCCATCAAAGAATTCATACAGGGGAGAAACCCTATCAGTGCGTGGAATGTGGAAAGAGCTTCAGTACAAGCTCCTATCTCACTTCCCATCAAAGAATTCATACAGGGGAGAAACCCTATCAGTGCGTGGAATGTGGAAAGAGCTTCAGTACAAGCTCCTATCTCACTTCCCATCAAAGAATTCATACAGGGGAGAAACCATATAAGTGTGTGGAATGTGAAAAGAGCTTCAGGAAGAACTCTGACCTCACTTCCCATTACAGAATTCATAGAGGGGAGAAACCCTATCAATGTGTGGAATGTGGAAAGAGCTTCAGTACGAGCTCCTATCTCAGTAAGCATCTGAGAATTCACAGAGGTGTAAAACCCTATCAGTGTGTGGAATGTGGAAAGAGCTTCACTAATAGTTCAAATCTCACTAAGCATCGCAGAATTCATACAGGGGAGAAACCACATCAGTTGGTGGAATGTGGAAAGAGCTTCAGTCAGAGTTGTAAAACCCTATCAGTGAGTGGAATGAGTTTCAGTCACAGTCACAGCCACAGTCTCGATTCCCATCATAGAATTCATACTGAATAAGCCATATAATTGCTTGGAATGTAGAAAGAGCTTCAGCTATAGCTCCTCTCTCGGTTCCCATTAAATAATTCATACGAAGGGTGGAAAACCCTTCATTGCACAGCTTTAGGCTGCAGGGAAAAACATACCTGCTTGTAGCCTTATTAGACTTTACTGATTTGTGGGCTCTGCGTTGCTCCGGACGGGAGGAAGGAAGTCAAATGACACCGAGGGTTGGTTCAGAGAATGTGTTTATTCTGCTCTCCGGATAGCAGAAGGCACTTGTGGGGTCAGTCCACAGCAAGTCCAAAGAAATGAGAAATTTCATGCAGTATATATATCCTCCAGGCACCCTCTCCCTCCTTCCCCAGGAATCCAACCACGTCAGCCTATGTACGCAGGTTGACATCACATATGTTCCTGCTCTGGTATTCTTAACCATAAAAGGGTATTCCTTCCTATACGTCTGACCATAAAAGGACTTTCCTGTTCCTACTCTTATCTTGGAGCAAGAGGTCACCATCTCCAAGAACATTCTCTGGCGCTGTTTCCAGACTAGGTCTGTGCGTCTTTGTGGTCGGGACATAAGATAAGACCTAGAGTGTCATCCATGTTCTACTGGTACAGTCAAGGTCATCCCTTGCCGTGACTGATAAAGGAGAGAGTTTGAGAAGGCAAAAAGCTTCTGGGAGATGATCTATAATGAGTTAAAGAAAATGCTGAAATATACTTTTGTTGAAAAACCAGAAGCTCTCTTGTTGGGAATACTGGATAATGAAATTAGTAAAAAAGATGTGAAATTAGTTTTGTATGCAGTAACAGCAGCCAGAATTTTGCTGGCACAGAAATGGAAACAGGAAGAGATGCCCACGAAAGAAGAATGGAGGATGAAACTGATGGAATACTGATGGAATACGCAGAAATGGACAGATTGACGGGGAGAATTAGGAACCAACGTGACCAGAGATTCTCCGAGGACTGGAAGAAATTTACAGAGTATATCAAAAATTTCTGTGATGAGCAAATAACGTTCGCTGGCTTTCAAGAAGCTCTGTGAAATTACTGTTAGAAATATTGTTTAAAAAATATGATGTGATTAAGAGTATTTGAGTGCAATATAATATTGGGAAATGTGAGACGAGGATAAAAAATAAACGGAAAATTATCAGACAAGCTGAGGGAAGTTCTGGAAAAAAGGGTTTAAGTTAAAAATGGATGTATAATTTTGTAAAAATGTTTTTTTTAATGGAAAATCTAATAAAAAATATTTATTAAAAAAAAAAGATAAAGGAGAGAGTTTGTTTATACAGCTGTGTCCTTGTTATGCATTTGCACAACAGCTCAAGTTTTATGCATTTTAGAGTGCTCTCTTGGGGAAAGAAGAAAAGGGTCAGTTGAGTCAGTTTTAAACTGACTGCACAGAAACCCATTCCTTCATGCTTAACCAGGCTTTGGGCTGATTGACATCTAATGCCTTTTTAAAATGTGGTGAGGAGGCGGGATGGTTTACAGTTTTTTAATTATTATTTTTTTATATTGTGGTTTTATGTTGAAACCGCCCTGAGGGCATAGGGCTGCTGTAGGCAAACTCGGCCCTCCAGATGTTTTGGGACTACAATTCCCATCATCCCTGACAACTGGTCCTGTTAGCTAGGGATCATGGAAGTTGTAGGCCAAAAACATCTGGAGAGCCAAGATTGCCTACGCCTGGTATAGGGCACAGGAGGTAACTCTTAGAGGTGGAAAGGTCTTTGTTCCCCCCTAAAATATTTGAGAGGCCACCCCCCCCCTTGATAGGCATTGCCATTCAAATGGCGCATGCAGCACATCATATATTTTATTCAAGTTGGCACCCCTGGTATAGGGCGGTATAGAAATTACTGTATTTTTTGCTGCATAAGACACACTTTTTTCCTCCAAAAAGTAAGGGGAAATGTCTGTGCGTCTTATGAGTGAATGCACTGGACAGCGGAGGGATCCCTCGGCTGCCGCTGCACTCTGCGAGCTGAGGGATGCCTCCGCAGCCGGAGCCATGGCTCCCGTCCGTCGCTCGCTGTGAAGCAAGCAGAGCAAGAGCTGCTGACACGCTCTGCACAGCTCTTGCTATTCTTGCTTTAAAGCAAGAGCCGCAGAGAGACATGGCTCCCCTCCTCCCGCCTTGCTGTAAAGCAAGCAAAGCACCTGTCCCGGTGTCTCCTCCTCCTCTTCTTGCTCCAGTATCACCTCGCTTTGCAGCGAGGCAGGACGAGGGATTGGCACACAAAGTGAGAGCTGCGCAAAGCGGGACAGAAGCCATGTAAGTGGCTTTCACTTTGCTTGCTTAAAGCAAGCAAAGCGAGAGCCGCTTACACGCTCTGTGCAAAATCCTCCCCTTATTTTCCTTCTCTAAAAACTAGGTGCGTCTTATGGAGTGAAAAGTACTGCACATAAATGCATAAATAAAATAAGACCATATTGGTCATTGTCATTTGCACATGTTCCAGCTTGTCAACATCCGCATTTATTGCCATTTTTAAAATTTATGTGCCGTTCATCTGAAGATTTCACAATATAAATATACAGGATGAAAGCATGGCTTTCTCAAAAACAAGTCAAGCCAGAGAAATCTCTCCCCCCCCCCCCCCCCCGTTTTTTTTGGATGGAGTTACAAACTTTGTTGATCATGGGAGAGCTGTGGAAATAGTGCATCTTGATTTCAATAAGGCTTTTGACCAAGTCCCCACAATATTTATGTGAGGAAGCTGGTAAAATGTGGTCAGAATGAGGTAACTGTTAGGTGGATTTGACTGACCAAACCGAAAGAGGACTCCTTCATGGTTCTTCATCATCCTGGGGAAAAGTGACAAGAGGGGTGTTGCAGGGTTCTGTCCTGGGCCCGTTGTTGTTCAACGTCTTTATGAATGATTTGGATGAAGGAACTGAAGGGGATGCTCATCACATTTGCGGAGGACACCAAACAGGGAGCGGAGGCCAATGTGGCAGAAGGCAGAATCAGATCAAGGGCAGGAATAGTATCACTTTCTTCTGCCTTGGTCAGACCCCACCTTGAATACTGTGTTCAATTCTGGGCACCACAATTTCAGTATCTTAAATTTTGTTTCCTTGGGGAAATCAAAAGGTGGGGGAGCACAATCCACATTCCTTTTGTAACAAGTGGCCAATATTTATTGAATACATAAATCTTTAAGACTGTTGCTGGAATCCACCCAGCACTCATGGGAAAATGTGGCGTGATCTTTTAGAGTAATCAAATGAAACGTGTAACACACTGGAGGATGAAGCTCTGCAATTTCATCAGGACAAGGTATTTGTTGATTACTGTTGTAACCATTGCTTTCTTTAAAATTATATTTTGTACCATGAAAATAAATAAAAGCAATTGTTGTTTTTTTTTAAAAAAAGAAGGTGTGGAAATCGTGTGTGCTATTCTACAAATCTTGCATGTGTTTTGTGTTATTTGGAGACTGTAACTCCCCGTAATTTCACATTATCTATGGGTTTCTTTGTATTCAGCACACATGATTGCAGGTGAGACTGAATAAAACACTTCCCAGGAAATTCCCTTTGACTGCTTCTGTATTGTTTCAAATGTGACTTCACTTCCAGATAAGAACAAATCATATTTATTGCTGAAAAATCATGTCATCGTCGGCTCCTTAATCTACCCGAACAAACCCTGCGCTTTACATGAGCAACTGCTTTATTTCTATTTCTTAGGTGGAAAGAACTGATAAGGAAGAAGGGAGATAGAGCCTTTCCCTCAACCTTTGGGGATCTGGGGGGGGGGACTTCATTTTACCCCTTAGTCCTGCTCCTCAGAGCTTGGCAGATGTGGAGTATTTGCTCACACACTGCCATGACTTAAAAATCAACCTTTTTAATTTTTTTTAAGAAATGGTATTGCAGTGCTAAAAAGTCTCAAGAAAGCAATTCCTGTAGTAGCTGGCATCTTAGCGAGCCCAGTGCCACTCTACCAACTGTCTCACTCCCAGCTAACTAATCTGGAAAGCTGTCCTGTCATCTCTGCAAGGACCTCAGTGTCTCTTGAATCACAATTAAGCATTTATGGAAATGGTATACTGGGCCACTGAATGTGCAACCTGCCAGCCCTGCCCTGGATGTTTTGGTGTGGCAGCAAGTGTACTTTGGAACTCCCTGCCACTTGACATCAGGCAGGAGGCTTCATGGCCCACTTTGCAGCATTCAACCTTGTTACCGCTGCTGAGTTTGTGATAGCTACACATTGAGGAGAGAGAAGCCAATTTCCTACGTATATCCAAATGGATTGAGAAAGTATGGTTTTCAGTAAATATAATTTAGCTGACACTGCAAAAGAATGCATCTAAACCAGCCTAGCAGGCTCATGGGGAAATGGACATTTTGAGGGATGTTTTGAAGCAGTAAGTTTAGAGATCATTTATTTATTTATTTCATAAAATGTATATGCCGCTTGATTGTAAACAAAACAAAACCCTCAAGGCAGTTTACAAAAAGATACACTGAAATCATGAAAAATCGTGCTGCAGTATTCTGCACCAGTTGCAGATTCTGGATCAAGCGCAAGGGATGCCCCACATGGAGGGCATGTGGTCATCCAGCCTTGAAGAAACGAAGGCGAGAGCTGCTGTGACCAGGCTCTCCCAGTCCAGGAATGTTGAACCATCCACAGCTGCTCAAAGGAGTTTCCAGGCACTGAGTCTCGGCTGGATACAGAAGCAGCCCCAAGCCCCATGAGGTTCATATGGAGAGAACCTTTGGCTTACCTTATTTACTAATAAAAATAACTGGAAAGAGACATGAGATAAATAAAATGAAAGCAAACATTTGTGGCCCCCTCTCGTGGTTTCTGCCCAAATGTCAGTGTTGTGGGAGAGGCACCGTGCCTGGCAGGGCCCGGCTTGGCACCCAGGAGGGCAAGGAGGTGTCTAGTGGTTTGCAGGCCCCTTTTGCCCTTGGCCAAAAAGGCCAAGCACCCTCTGGCGGATCTGCTGGGTCTTCACCCCATAGACAAGGGGGTTCACCATGGGCGGCAGGAGGAGGTAGAGGCAGGCCAGCAGGATGTGGATGTACGGAGGCACATGGTGGCCAATCCGGTGGGTCAGGAAGGTGAAGAGGGCGGGCACATAGGAGACCAAGATGGTGCAGGTGTGGGCCGCACAGGTGCCCAGGGCCTTGGCGCGAGCGTCCCATGATGAGAGCCGGAAGACGGCCCGGAGGATCATGGTGTAGGAGGCAGCAATGAGCCCCAGGTCCAGCACCACCACTGAGAGGGCCACACAGATGCCATACACCCGGTTGACAGTCGTGTCACTGCAGGCCTGCTTGACCACCGCCATGTGCTCACAGTAGGTGTGCTGGATGACTGTTCGGAAGCCACCAGGCAGCCTCTTGAGGAGGAGGAGGGGGCAGGGCAGGACCAGGATCACGCCCCGGGCAGCCGCCGCCAGCCCCATCCTGGCCACTGCTGTGTTGCTAAGGATGGCCGCATAGTGGAGAGGGTGGCAGATGGCAACATAGCGGTCAAAGGCCATGGCCAGCAAGATGGCGGACTCCACGATGGAGAAGGTGTGGATGAAGTACATCTGCGTCAGGCAGGCGTGGAAGCCAATCTCCCTGGCGCCCGACCACATGATGGCCAGCATCTTCGGCAAGGTGGAGGTGCTGATGACCAGGTCGTTGGCGGCCAGCATGGAGAGGAAGAGGTACATGGGCTGGTGGAGACTGGGCTCCGTCTTGATGATGAAGAGGATGGTGACGTTCCCCAGCACAGTCAGGACGTACATGAGGAAGAGGGGGGTTCCAATCCAGGTGTGGAAGGCTTCCAGACCAGGGATGCCCACCAGGATGAAGGAGAACTGGCCCAGTAAGCTGGCTGTGCTGTTGAGGGCCTCCAGCGTTGCGGAAAGGAGTCGCCAGAGAGACCCACCCTGGCGAAGCTTCTGAGACCTGGAGAAAGTCACACAGCTGGAAGAGGAAGGGAGAAGGGTGGCCCCTGGAGGAAGTGCTGGGCTCACCTGCCTCCCTCCTGCGCCCTTTCAGGAGCCCAGAAAGGACTATTCCCGGCTGCTGCTAAAACCAAGAGCCCATCTAGCCCGGCCTCCTGTTCTCACAGTGGCCGATCAGGTGCCCCAACAGGAAACCCCCAAGCAGGATCCAAGCACGAGAGCCCTCTTCTCCCCTCCTGTGGCTTCCAGCAACTGCTTTTCAGAAGCTTGGCTGCCTCTCCTTGTGGAGCCAGAGCAGAGCCCTCTCCTCCTCCAGGAATTTGTCCTTGAAAGGCTCATTGGTTGGTGGACATTGCTGCCTCATGAGGCAGGGAGTTCCACCATTTAACTAAGAAGGACTTCCTTTTATGCCCCCTGAATCTTCCAACATTAATCTTCATTATGGGCTCTAATGTTGGGAGAGGAGAAAAATTCTCTCAATCCACTCTCTACATGCCATGCAGAAATTCATAAATATCCATCATAGGATTCTCCGGCCAGACATTACCAGGATATCAAAGGTGGAATTGTCCAACAACTTTTGGGGTGTCCTGGTTTTTACTTTTTGAAATATGGCGGTCCTAGGGTCTCGAGCTGACATAAGCCTAAAATTACTTTCTGGCCCATGAAGAACAGCCACACCAATTTTCTGCAGCTCTTAATGATCTACGATATATGTTTGTGTGTGTACAAATATACACCCACCCTATAATTTCCCCCTCTCTGGTCTTCTGTGGTCTCGGCTCCCTCACCACTGCCCAACCCCTGTGGCCAAAGTCATTCTTGTTCTTCCTGGATTGAATTCTGCCTCAGGGCAGGGACCTGTCCTTTAACACTTTGCAAAAGGCCACCCATGCCAATGGCACAATGTAAAATAGCAGTGATGGTGACTTTTACAATTCTCTTTTGTGTGTGTGCATAGCGGCGTGGGGGGGGTGCGCAGGGGGCAGCTGCCCCCCCAAATCAAGTAAATAGATAGAAAACATTTAACTAACTGACCAATTGTATCACAGTTCTGCCCCCCACCCAACATAAAGCTTGCACCTCCCCCCCCCCAAAAAAATCCTGGCTATGTCCATGGTCCTGTGCCTGTTCTATTCCAAAACACTGAGATTTTGGGACTGTGCTGAGATTATTGTTCACCTTTTCCAGCCACACGTCACATCACTGCCTTGGCTCCATCACGTTCCCTTCAGACCCTTGCGATGCCGTGGCTTCCCTTGACCAGGTCACTGAAGGTTACCCTCTGCAGAAGGAGGAGGAGGAAGATGAGGAGGAGGAGAAATAGAAGAAGAAGAACCCCAGAGGGTCATTTGGCCCCTGCAGTGCAGGAAACACAGCTATAGAATCCCTGACAGATGGTCCCCCAACCTCTGCCCAAAGACCTCCAGGGATGGAGAGCTGTTGTTGATGATACAATCATAGGATTATAGACTTTGGAGGGGACACAAAAAAGCATCTAGTCCAACCCTCTACAATGCAGGGATCACTGACAAGGAATCTACCTTGCAAATGCACAAGACTTACTGGGGAAGTGGGAGAGGAGAGCCTTGGTTGGAGGAGACGAGGAAGTGTGGGCCCAGGAGGAAAGAAAGAAGTGGGGCAAGGGAGAGATGGAGGAGAAGGTTGGAAAGAAGGGAAAGGGAAGGGTGGAGAGGGAAATCAGTCTTGTGAGAAGATACAAAGGAAGGATGAGCTGGAAGGAGCAAGGAAGTGAATGGAGCTCCAAAAGGGGAAAGCGAGGGGACAGTGGAGGCAGATGGAGGAGGACTAGTGGGTGGATGGATAGGTGGAAGCAAACAGGAAAGAGGGATTAGCTGCCATCCCTGCATTGCAGCGACTTGGACTAGATGATCCTTGGAGGTCCCTTCCAACTCTGATTCTATGACAGGCAGGAGGAGAAGGAGGCTGTGCTCTGGCAGCCCCAGAAATGGCTCCCCTCCAACCTGCCGTCCTGCTGCTGCTGAGTCTGGAATAAAAATCACCCTTGCCATCGTTATTGCAGCAACAAGGAATGCAAGTAGAACATGGATGTTTCCATAGGGAGGAACTCCGCTGCCTTATTTTTGGTCCTCCACCCAACCCAACCAAAATTTCTCGGCTCCCTGCAGGACCAAAATCCTCCAACGTTTTCTCTGATGAAAATAGGGATGACAAGGAATTATGGTGCTGGAGGAAACTCTTGAGAGTTCCATGGACTGCAAGAAGATCAAACCTCTCCATTCTGAAGGAAATCAGCCCTGAGTGCTCACTGGAAGGACAGATTCTGAAGCTGAGACTCCAATACTTTGGCCACCTCATGAGAAGAGAAGACTCCCTGGAAAAGACCTGATGTTGGGAAAGATGGAGGGCACAAGGAGAAGGGGACGACAGAGGACAAGATGGTTGGACAGTGTTCTCGAAGCTACCAGCATGAGTTTGACCAAACTGCGGGAGGCAGTGGAAGACAAGTGGGCCTGGAGTGCTCTGGTCCATGGGGTCACGAAGAGTCGGAAATGACTAAACGACTAAACAACAATAAAAGGAATACTGGGACATTCCAGGATCAAATCAGAATCTGGGACGGCTTCTGCAAATCCAGGAGTGTCCTTGGAAAAGAGGGTCTGCAAGAGCTGATCCAACACACAAGCAGGTGAAAGAGAAGCCTGCAGGTTCCAGGCAGGAAGCGCAGATGTAGGAAGGCAGGAAGAAAAAGAGAGAGAAGGGGGAGTCTCCAGGGTCACTTACTGCCATTGTGGCTGGAGTGTCTGCCATGCCGGTCCTTGGCATCAGCTGCTTGGAGCTCTTGGGGTCCCCCTGGCACCCCTTATATGCTGGCCCAGATCCTCCCTAGGGTGTCTGTGTCGCTGGCGACGCCTCCTTCTCCCTTTTGCGCGTAATTGCAGTTCAAGTGTGCAGCTTCCTCAGGGAGGGGAGCAGCCTCTGGACCCATGAGTAGGTGCTGGATCCATCCTGCGACAAAGCTGGACATTGGCAGACTCCAGAGGGACAAATTCTCCACACAGCACAGAGCTAAACTGCCGAGCTATCTCCCCCCCGGAGGCAGTGGATGGTTTCTGAAGAGGATCAGACAGGTTCATGGAGGAGGAGAATGCTGCCAGGGGCTCCCAGGCTTTGCTGGAGGCAGCCAGGCTTCTGAATACCAGATGCAGGAAACCACAAGAAGGAAGGGGCCCCACTCACCTGCATTCCCAAACCTAGCTAGAATCATAGGGGCTTATCCGTTGTTCTGCCCAACATGGCTCATTTCCCCTTAGAGCCTATTCCTACTCGCAGAATACAGCCACGTTCCCTGAATATGTGCAAATGAAGCACTTCGGAGAAGGCAAATATATGATCACCAAGATCTAGGGTGCAGAGAAAGGAATGCAGTTCTTTCAGAACTCTAATGCAAATCTATCTCCAAATGGGGGACTGTTACAGAACGGAGTCTTACTCCCGAGTAAGACATGTAGAACCCAAGGAGGCGACCTCAAGGGAACCCTACCATACTAGGACTCCCCTCACCCCATCACAATGTTGCACCAAGCACCGCATAAAACCCCAAGAATAAAGCACCATTTCTGACCCTGTATCTCTAAACTACACACAGGCAGGCGGAATGAACGATTGATGTATTTTATGAATGAACAAGGTATTTGCGTTAGGATGCGCTCTAGCCAATCAGATTGCGTCGAATACAGCCCTTCAGCCAATCACAGCAATGCCATGGCTCTGCAGAGGCAGCTCAGCTCGAGTTGCTTTGCACGCTCCACTGAGCGCTGACAAGGTGATGACAGCTCCCGCTGTGAGAACAATGGACTGATTCAGTTGAAACCCGTTACCTTGTTAATCCAATCAAAACTAGATACAATGTAGCAATGTCAGACCAGGTTACTTCTGAAAAAAACCGTCTGTACTAAAAAAAAAAGCCTAAAACGCTTGGAAATTCATAGAAAATCACTGTCCACCGATTCTCTTCATTCCACTGCCAATCTACTTTGTTGGCCAAGGACCCAATAAGCCCTCGGCCCTCGCCGTAATCCCTCAAGCAGGAGGTCACGTATGCACAGGAAGGGACTCATAGGTGTCAATCACTGGGCAACCCCCTCCTTTGGACTTACCCAGGTGGAAGACTATGCAAACCTAAGTCCTATTGTTTTCTTGTTGTAGGTGCTTAGAATGTACTCCCAATACATATCCTGTATTTTCACGTTGCCCCCCCCATATTCCTCCTATGTTAATCATGTATACCCTCCCCTTTTCTGATGTAGTGATGATGTTTAGTGAACTGTATGCTGGGATAAGATAGGAACTTTGAAAAGTCCTTGTCACCCCGTTCTTGGGGTTCAATTCCTCTTTGAACCTGTTGCGCAATAAACTTTGATCTTCAGCTATTTGCTCTGGTTGGTGGCTGGACTCCTTCTTTGTTCCACAGGGACCCACGGGCTCTGCCCAATGTGCTAGGTGGCTGAGCAGCCTCGCACCTG